GGGAAGCGATGTAGTGGAGGCAGGATCCATACATAGCTTTAAGCAGAGGTATGATAAGCTCACGGTTCAGAGAGAGTGGACTAGTAGCGTCAGTGAAGAGGCGGGGCCAGGAGCTCGGACTCGACCCCCGCAACCTCAACTAGGTGAGTACAACTAGGTGAGTACACACACACACACACACACACACACCACACACACACGCACACACCCCCACACACACACACACCCACACACACACCCCACCCACACCCACACACACACACACACACACACACACACACACACACCACACACACACACATACCCACACACACACACACATACACACACACACACACACACACACACACACACACACACACACACACACACACACACACACACACTGTGCGTGCGCCCATACCTATTTGTACTCACCTATTTGTGGTTGCAGGGGTCGATTCATAACTCCTGGCCCCGCCTCTTCACTGGTCGCTACTAGGTCCTCTACTCCTCCTCCATAAGCTTTTTCAAACCTTGTCTTAAAACTATGTATGGTTCCTGCCTCCACTATGTCGCTTGCCACACTATTCCACTTTCTGAGAACTCTATGACTAAAGAAACATTTCCGAACATCCCTTTGACTCATCTGAGTCTTCAATTTCCAATTGTGACCCCTTGTTTCTGTGTCCCATCTCTGGAACATTCTGTCTCTGTCCACCTTGTCAATTCCTCGCAGTATTTTGAATATCGTGTGTGTGTGTGTGTGTGTGTGTGTGTGTGTGTGTGTGTGTGTGTGTGTGTGTGTGTGTGTGTGTGTGTGTGTGTGTGTGTGTGTGTGTGTGTGTGTACTCACCTAATTGTGGTTGCAGGGGTCGAGACTCAGCTCCTGGCCCCGCCTCTTCACTGATCGCTACTGGATCCTCTCTCTCTCTGCTTCCTTAGCTTTGTCATACCTCTTCTTAAAACTATGTATGGTTCCTGCCTCCACTACTTCACTTGCTAGGCTAATCCACTTGCTGACAAACTCTATGACTGAAGAAATACTTCCTAACGTCCCTGTGACTCGTCTGAGTCTTCAGCTTCCAGTTGTGACCCCTTGTCCCTGTGTCCCCTCTCTGGAACATCCTATCTCTGTCCACCTTATCTATTCCCCGCAGTATCTTGAATGTCGTTATCATGGGCTCCCCTGACCCTTCTGTCCTCCAGTGTCGTCAGTCCGATTTCCCTTAACCTTTCCTCGTACGACATTCCCTTGAGCTCTGGGACTAGCCTTGTTGCAAACCTTTGTACTTTCTCTAACTTCTTGACGTGTGTGTGTGTGTGTGTGTGTTCTCAACCTAGTCGTGGTTGCAGGGGTCGATTCACAGCTCCTGGTGTTGTGTGTGTGTGTGTGTGTGTGTGTGTGTGTGTGTGTGTGTGTGTGTGTGTGTGTGTGTGTGTGTGTGTGTGTGTGTGTGTGTGTGTGTGTATCACAACAAACATCAACCACACTTTACTCACCGAGTTTTTGGTTTTAAGATTTTCTCGAAGTTTACCTCGCCCATCTTCTCTAAGTGTTTGTGCATCACACTGCGGACACTGCAACAAACAAGTCAACAATTAGTAATGAACACTGACCAAGTTATACAAGCAGTTCTCTATGTTCTCCTGTATCAGTATATGTGTGAATATTTCTGGGACTCATCGCCCCCGCCCCCGGTCGTAGAAAATTAAAGAGATATTACAGAGGTAAGAATTACTAAGACATTAATAAGACTACAGAGTGCAAGTTCGTACTGAATGTTGTGTGCCGCTAACACTCATATTATTAAATCAATGACACTGTTGTGTCACTTGTTCTAGTTGATGAGCCCAAGAAACATATAGGAGGTACACTGCAGCAGGCCTACTAGCCCATACTAGGCATGTTCTTCTCAAACCCAAACCCACTAACCAAAAAAAAAAAAATATTTACCCACGTTCAATGGTACCTACTGCGTGTCACCACATGGAGAAGACCGAGCCAGGACCAGCCTGACAAACCTACCTGAATGCTACCCAAATTGAAGACGTGTCTCTTCTGCTCTCCCTTCCCAGCTACCTGAGGACTATTATGATGGCTTCCCTCGACTATGATCATCAGGTAACTACTCTGACCTACCCACTGCACTGGACCTGTAAACCTGAACCTGCTACCTGTATCCCTCTCACAGGTCTTTCATTATAGAAACCAGTGATTCTAATTTCTGCAGCGTGTATTTAAGCAAGTTGACACGAGTTAAGAAGAACCTGACACAAAACATTTCTCCTGCAGGAACAATATAATACTAGGTTATATGTGTTATTTATGTCCTCAATTAAAACACACATGCAACAGTTAGGTATCATTATTATTCAAAGGTTTCGCCTTTCATGTAGTTATGAGACGAATATGAAGTAATCAATACATCAACCTTGGAGAAATAGTAATCGAGGTGATCAGTCCCTCAGCCTGGAGAAGAGTTCAGCTCCATGGTCTGGAACAATATCGTTCCATGGAGCTGAACTATTCTCCAGACTGAGGGACTGACCACCTCAAATACTATTTCTCCAAGGTTGATGGACTGATTACATCTTCATCTCATTACTACATCTGCTGCCTCTGTATGTGACTGAAGAAGCCTACTGTGTAGGCGAAATCTTTCAATAATAATGATAGCCAACTGTTGCACATGTGTCATCAACTTTTCAGTACTTAATACCATTGATAACATATATGTCCTTAAAATGGTGGAGAGAGATAAGTGAGAGAGAGACTGGACGGGTGTAGGGATAACAGTATACAGGTATGTATTCCTTACACAAATAACCCGCACATAGAAGAGAGGAGCTTACGACGACGCTTCGGTCCGACCTGGACCATTTACAAAGTCACACTAACCAGAAGTGGAGCAGGACGGCTATATATAGGCAGGAAGAGGTAGTGGTGGTGGTGGTAGTAGTAGTAGTAGTAGTAGTAGTAGTAGTAGTAGTAGTAGTAGTAGTAGTAGTAGTAGTAGTAGTAGTAGTAGTAGTAGTAGCAGCAGTAGTAGTAGTATCGTTCCAGTCACGGTATTGTGCCGTTTTTTGTTATGTATTCCTTGACTACCAGATTTAATTAATTTCCACCAGAGTGTAACGTTATATATGTACGATTGTTTTAATGTGTTGATGTTGCGCGCGCACACACACACACACACACACACACACACACACACACACACACACACACACACACACAAACAGGTATGATAAAGCTCACGGTTCAGGGAGAGTGACCTAGTAGCGACCAGTGAAGAGGCGGGGCCAAGAGCTTGGACTCGACACCTGCAACCTCAACAACTAGGTGAGTACACACACACACACAAACACACACACAAACAGGTATGATAAAGCTCACGGTTCAGGGAGAGTGACTTAGTAGCGACCAGTGAAGAGGCGGGGCCAAGAGCTTGGACTCGCCCCCTGCAACCTCAACAACTAGGTGAGTACACACCCCACACACAAACACACACACAAACAGGTATGATAAAGCTCACGGTTCAGGGAGAGTGACTTAGTAGCGACCAGTGAAGAGGCGGGGCCAAGAGCTTGGACTCGACCCCTGCAACCTCAACAACTAGGTGAGTACACACACACACACACAATTAGAAGTTGAAGACTCAGATAAATTACAGGGATGTTATGAAGTATTTCTTTAGTCCCAGAGTTGTCAGGAAGTGGAATAGTCTGGGAAGTAATGTAGGGGTGGCAGGATCCATACATAGCTTTAAGAAGAGGTATAAGAAAGCTCATGGAGCAGGAAGAGTGACCTAGTAGCGACCAGTGAAGAGGGGGGACTCGGGGACTGTGACTCGACCCCTGCAACCACAACCAGGTGAGTACACAAATGTACGGCCAGTGTACCATCAAGTACGCACGCGTACGGCCAGTGTACCATCAAGTACACACGTGTACG